AACAAAATAGTTAAGTAAAATATACTGGCGCATTGACTATATGTGACAGCATATATGTTGCTCCTCCCTCCCCCTGACCACAACTGATAAAGGAAAGGAGTGTTTCATCCTGTCTTCTAGATCTAGAATCTATATTGATTATTATATTTCATTTGAGTTCAGCTGCCTTTCTGTATTGACCAACATGATTTTTTTTTTAGGCAATTGGGGTTAAGTGACTTGCCCAGGGTCACACAGCTAGTAAGTGTCAAGTGTTTGATCTGAGGCCAGATTTGAACTCAGGTCCTCCTGACTTCAGGGCTGATGTTGTATCCACTGCGCAACCTAGCTGCCCTCTTTTTTTTTTCAAGTCCAACTTTTTATGACTCCATTTCTTGGCAAAGCTACTTGAGTTGTTTGCCATTTCCTCCTCCAGCTCATTTTCCAGATGAGGAAACTGAGGCAAGCAGGGTTAAGTGACTTGCCCAAGGTCGCAGAACTAGTAAGTGTGTGAGGCTAGATTTGAACTGAGGAAGATGAGTCTTTCTGATTCCAAGCCCAGTGCACTATCCACTGTAGCACCACCTAGTTGCCTGAGGTGAATACAAAGCAGTATTTCACAGAATTTGAGAGCTGAAATAGACCTCAGGGACCCTTGATTACAGCCTTACCAGAAAAGTAATCTCCCTATAACATACCCAATAAGTGACCATCTAGCTTCTGATTGAAGTGCTACAATGAGGGGGAACCCTGTGCCCCCCCCAAGCCACCCTATTTGAATATATTAGGGAAAAGGATAGGTAGGGAAAATGAGGAGTAGGTTTGGAACCCAAAGCTTTAAAAACACATGTTTAAAAAAAATATTTTCACATGCAACTTGGAAATAAGAAATACAGGAAGTGGGGTACAGAAATCTATCCTGCCCTACAGGAAAATAGAAGGGGAAGGGGATAAGAGAAGGGGGAGAGAGAAAGAAGGGAAGGCAGACTAGGGGAAGGGGTATTTAGAATGCATGCCATCTTGGGGTGGGGGGAGGGGCGAGATGGGGTGAAAATTTGGAACTCAAAATCTTGTAGAAGTGAATGTTGAGGGGCAGCTAGGTGGCGCAGTGGATAGAGCACTGGCCCTGAAGTCAGGAGTACCTGAGTTCAAATCTGGCCTCAGATCAACACTTGACACTTACTAGCTGTGTGACCCTGGGCAAGTCACTTAACCCCAATTGCCTCAAAAAAAAAAAACCAAAAACAAAGAAGCGAATGTTGAAAACTAAAAATAAATAAATTTATTAATTAAAAAAAAAAAGAAAATGAGGAGTAAGACCAATGCTTAAGGTGGATAGAATGAGAATGACTGACAAAAGAGAGAAGGCTGAGCTGCTCAAATCTTAACTTTGCTCTGTTTTCTCTACCAAGGAGAATGACCTTTGGACAAGAATGGAAAAAACAAGTTTGGCTATTAGAGAGTGTGTCAATTCAAGGAAAATGAGATAGTAAGGGAGAACCTGCCAGCCCTTGATGAGTTGAAGTCCTCGGGCATAGATAAACTATATCCTTGGGCACTGAAACAACTGGCAGATATGACTCTGAGCCACTGACATGGAGGATCTTTGAAAGATTCTGGAGAAGGAGAGAGGTACCACAGGAATGCAGAAGGGGGTGGCGCGGAGAGTGGAATCTGCAAGGGTGGAGTCGCAGGCCAGTAAGCTCGACTTCAATTTCTAACACAATTTTACAGTGCATTACTAAAGTGAATATCTAGACAGTGAATGTCTAGAGATAGAAAGAATGATGACAAAGAACCAGCATGGCTTCATTAAGAACAGGTCATGCCAGACTCACCTTATTTCCCTTTTTGACAGAGTTGCCAAAGCTAGTTGATTGGGGAACGCTATATGATTTCCTTCTGTACTTGGCCCTAGACTGCTTAACATCTTTGTCAGTAACTTGGATATAGGTATAGATGGCATACAGATTAAATCTGATAACACAAAGCTGGGAGGGATACCTAACACACTGGAGGATGGTCAGGATCCCAAACAATTATGATTCCCACCCTTTCCTCCAGCCATTGGGCTGGATCTCAGAAGTTGAAATTTAATTGGAATAAATAATAATAGCTAACATTTGTATAGTGCTTACTATGTGCCAGGCACTGTGCTAAGTGCTTTATAAAATTATTATCTTATTTGGTCCTCACAACAACTCTGGGAGGTAGGTGCTATTATTATCCTCATTTTACAGATGAGGAAACCGAGTCAAATGGGGTTAAGTGACTTGCCCAGAGTCACATGAGTAGTAAGTGTCTGAGGCCAGATTTGAATTCAGGTCATAAATGTAAAGGCTTAAACTTGGGTTCACAAAACAGCCTCCTAAGTGCAAGATGGGAGAGGCATGACTAGATGGCAGTTTGTCTCAAAGAGATGTGGGGGTCTTAGTGGATGGCAAGCCCAATACAAGCCAACAGTGGCCATGGCAGCCAAGAAAGCTGAATTGTTTAGAAAGGTAAGAGTGTCCGAGAATCCTAGTCCCTCTGATCCCACCTAAAGTACTCCAATCAGCCTTGAGAGCTATACTTTCAGAAGAACATGGATAATCTGTTCTGTTTTGTTTTGTTTTTGGCTAGGCAATGAGGTTAAGTGACTTGCCCAGGGTCACACAGCTAGTAAGTGTCAAGTGTTTGGTCTGAGGCCGGATTTGAACTCAGGTCCTCCTGACTTCAGGGCCGGTGCTCTATCCACTGTGCCACCTAGCTACCCCCGAACATGGATAATCTGGAGAGTATACAGAGGAGGTCTTCCAGAAGAGAGAAGGGCCTCAATTTCATGGCAGAAAAGAATCAGTTGAAGGAGCTAGGGGCATTTAGCTTCCTCATCTCCTCCTCCTAGATCCCCTAAGTCTCAGCTAAAGTCCCATCTTCTGCAAGAAGCATTTCTCAGTCCTCCATTATCTTAAAGCCTTCCCTCTAAGACTAACCCCTCCCCCATTTATTCTATTTGCATAGTTGGTTTGCATGTTGTCTCAATTAGACCGAGCCCCTTGAGAGCAGGGACCATTTTTTGCCTTTCTTTGTACCCTGAATGCTTAGCACAGTGCCTGGCACATAGTAAATAAATGTTGTTGTTTAGTTGTTTCAGTCATGTCTAACTCTTTGTGACCCCATTTGGGATCTTCTTGGCAAAGATAATGCAGTGGTTTGCCATTTCCTTCTCCAGCTCATTTTCCAGATGAGGAAACTGAGGCAAACAGAGTGAAGTGACTTGCCCAGGGTCACACAGCTAGGAAGTGTCTGAGGTCACATTTGAACTCGTCTTCCAGACTCCAGGCCCTGCACTCTACCCACTGCAGCGCCACCTAGCTGCCCTAGTAAATAAATACTTGTTGATTGATTGACCCAGAGGCCAAGAGAAGACAAGGAATGCCAGGACAGGTGTCTTCCGGTACCAAGAGGACTTTTCTATGGATGACATGTTCTGCTTGACCCCAGAGGGTGGAACTAGGAGCAGCAGGTAAAAGCTGAAAAAAAGTAAATGTAGACTTGCTATGAAGAAACACTTCTTAACAATTAGAGCTGGCCAAGAATAAAATGGATGCTCACTTATTCGATATATTGTAAAGGGGATCCTCTTTCAAGTAAGGGTAGAACTAGGTAGCCACTGAGGCCCCTTCCAACTCTGTAGTTTGGTGATTCTGTGAAAAGTTAGCCAAGTCTAATTGGGTTTCACAACCTTCCAGTGGATTCTGATCAGATAAGTTGACATCTGCATGAATATCTGCCTTCTACCAACATGTTTTGACATTCATATGGGTTTGAAAATGATCCACTTTACTTCTGTTCATTTACAAATGTGTAACCAGCCCATCTGCACATGGGCTTATAACCTACAGAGACAAACACAAAATTATTTCAAAATTATTTCTCTTTCTCTATTTCTCCCTCCTCTCTCTCTCCCTTCCTTTTTCTCCCTTCTCTCTCTTCCTCCCTCCCTCCTTCTCTATTTCTCCCTCTTTTTCACTCTCTCTGTCCCTCCCCTCTCTCTGTCTCTCCCTCCTCTGTCTCTCCCTCCCTCCTCTCTCTCCCTCCTCCTCTCTCTCCCTCTCTCCTCTCTCCATTTCTTCCTCCTTCTCTTTCTCTATTTCTCCCTTCTCTCTCTCTCCCTTCCTCTTTCAAACATCAGATGGAATTCTTTGTCAAAACTAATACTGATAAGGGTGCAGTGCGGTACAGGTGAAAGAGCAGAGAGTCAGAGAATGCAGGTTCAAATCTCAGATATTTTTTCTCAGGTTCAAATAAAGAAAGTAAAAAAAAAGTAAGCTTCAATCTGTATTCAGACACTATGAGTTCTTTCTCTGGGGATGAATAGCATTTTTCATCCTAAGTCCTTCAGAGTTGTCTTGGATCATTGTATTGTTGAGAATAGCTAAGTCATTCATAGCTGATCATCTTACACTATTGCTGTTACTTTGTACACAGTCTATTTCACTTTGCATCAGTTCATGCAAATCTTTCCAGGTTTTTCTGAGAGCATCCTGCTCATCATTTCTTGTAGTACAATAGTATTCCATCACAATCACATACCGCAATCAGCCATTCCCCAATTGATGAACATCCCTTCAGTTTCTAATTCTCTGCCCCCAGAAAAGAGCTGCTATAAATATTTTTGTTCATATAGTTCCTTTTCCTTTTTTTTAATCTCTTTTTGGATACAGACCCAGTAATGAAATTGCTACATCAAAGGGCATGCTGCAAACCCACACTTTTTTGAGTCTCAGTTTCCTTATCTGTAAAATGAGCATTCTTGAATTAGTTAGTCTTTGAGGCCCCTTCCTGCTCTAGATGGAGGACCTTGTGGGTGGGAAAAATCACTTCCCCTGCCCAGTCCTCAGGATCCTCCTCTGCAAAATGCACAGAATGGCCTCAAAGGCCTCTGAGGACCCTTCTACTTCTAGACTTAGGATCCTCTGACTGATGGGGGAAAGGGCGCAAGTGAGAAACAGACACCTTTGAAAACAAGATATGTCATGGCTCTTTATTTGAAATTGTGTTTAAATCATAATAGTAAAGTAACAGCACGTGTGGAAACCAAGTATTGGCTTTTCAGCTCCTGCTCAGCACAGACCAGAACAGAAAGAATCTAGGGCGGGAAGCAGAGGGAAAAGAATAATGGGGGGGAGGGGGGAGGGAGCTCTATCCAGCCTAGAATGAGCAAATATTTGCCATGAGGGCCATCTAAATAGGGCTTTGGATCCAGGAGAAGAAATCACTCCATTTTCCAGAGCAAGACAACAGGCATCTTTAGACATATCATACATTATATGAACATTTCAAATCCTGATGAAAGTAATTACTCAAATCATCTATTTCTAAAAGGAAGTCACATCAGAAGGGGGTAGGGGAATGGGAAAACTACAGAGAAACCGACAATTGAGAGTCACTGGATGCCCCCAAACACCGCTAGAGCCTCTGGCTGCTGTGCGGGATTAGGCATCTTCCACTGCCTTCACATCTAAATGACTTGACAGTTTGAACACAATACACATATTCCTTACTTCTGCAGAGAAATAAGCTTACCATTTTCATATTAATAACTTGAGATATAGGAGAGTTAGTAGCACCATGAAAAATGTTTTTTCCCCCCAAAAAAACTACAGTCTTGTTACTTTAAACATATTCAATGTGGTTCTTGTCTTAGCTGATTTTAAAAAAAAGGCCGTTTTAGTTTGTGGGCCAAAAGCAGTCTTCATTTGCATTTTCCCTGGGTCTAAGAGGTCCATTCTTTTCTTTGTTCCTTTTGTCAAACATGCAAGGGAGAAGGCTTGTTCCAGCATTTCACAGAGGTACATCTGGATCTGGACGGTAAACAGCCCTCTTTTTGGCTGTTTATAGTAGCACCATTGGTGGGGCAGAAACAGTGCACCCTGGGAATTTTCCATTCAAACAAATATCATCCTCCTCCCCAGAATTCTCCGAGATTTTATGTCCTCTTCATACAAACTTGACATCGACTAATGCGTGTCCTCAAGTCTCCTGTCTTGAGTGTCTCTGGTTGTGGGTTACTGGGAAAATAGAACCAAGACAGTGTTCAGATTTATAGGATCCCAGATTTGCTGAGAAGAGCCCTTACAGGTGATCTGATCCAGCCCTGCACTTTGCATATGGGGCAACTGAGGTCCGGACAGGGGAAGGGAATTGCTCCAAGTTATATATGTAGTAAGCAAAGGGAACAAAGCTTTTTCACCACTGAAAGGCCTCAGGAGCACCCATCTTCCCTCTTGTCCTCCCCTGCCCCAAGTAGTACACCTTTTCTCCCCTCTACTTCTGTGTGCACACTGCTTTTCTCTTCTCCCCACTTTGTGCCTAGGTGTGTGCTCATGACCACCCCCCCACCCAGGCACCCGTGCCTACATGTCTTCCCACATTTGCTTGTCTGGCTCTCTCCCCTGCCCTTGTATTCCTGTATTGGTCTTTCTCTCTCCTCTGCTGTCTGCTTCCGTGAATTGGAATCAATCTCCCTCCTCTTTCTCTGCTCCTATCATGCTTGCCTCTTTCTCCTTCTTTACTCCTCCCATGGTCTCCTTCTTTCTTTCCTCTGCTGCAGGTGTGTGTGTGTGTGTGTGTGTGTGTGTCCCTTTCTCCACTGTGGGTGTAGGTCTCTGTCCACTGCTATGTTTATGTGTGCCTCTCTTTGCTGGGTACATCTTTCCTCTGTTCTTGCATTGTAGGGGATTTTTCTTATCTCCTCTTTTTCTTTCTCTCCATCCCCCTTCTTCCCTGCCTTTCTGTCTCCCTCTCTTCCTCTTTCTGTCTCTTCATTTCTCTCCCTCTCCTTTCCTCATCTCTCTCCATCACCAAATGTCATCCCTTTTGCCCTCTCCCTCCCTCTCTATCTCTCCCTCCATCTCTCCTTCCTTCCCCCTCATCTCTTCCTTTCCTCCATCTCTCCTTCACTCTCCTTTATGTCTCCCCCCACATCTCTCCCTCTCCTTCCCTCCTTTTTGTCTCTCTCTTTTTTCCATCCTTTGTCTCTCTTGCCCTCTCTTCCTCCTCTTGATCCCTCTCTCACTGTTTTACGAATGGACTGGAAAGAGACAAGACTTGAAGCAAGGATACCAAGGGTGCCTGGGAGGATGGTGGTGTCCACAATAGCAACAGGTATGTTAGGAAGAAGGATGGGTTGTGGGGTAAAGCCAGGTTGAGTCTGAGATGCCTACAAGCTCTCCAGTGGAGGTAGATAACAGGCACTTGGTGATGTGTGTGTGTGTGTGTGTGTGTGTCTTTGTTCTCTGCAAACGTGTCTGTCTCTGTGCTCTGCCTAGATGTCTCTTTTCTGAAAAGCCTTGGTTCTAAGGCAGGCTCAAATGCTGACTTATTGGGCACTACCAGCCAAAGCCCACTCTTTGCTCTACCTTCCAAAGACTGACTACTAAGCATACCACATAACGGCCAAAGTTAAACCCCAAAGTATGAGTTACCTCTGCTTTTTTGGGACTGTGGGGAGGAAACCATCACCCCCTAAGCCAGTGCAAACTGGATAAAGACACAATTAGCCCTGGGTTTCCTGCCTTCTAACCAACTCGGATGGGCATTCACAACCTTTGACCTGAAGGCAAGTGGGCCTCACCTGAACATGTCTGATGCCTCCACAGTTGCCAGCCAGAAGCTGTAGGAGTTGGCATAGTAGTTGCAAGTTCCCCATCCATGACATTCAATGAAGGGGGCTGAACGGAATTCTTCTAGGCAGGAACCAGGAGAGGCCAGGGCCTGGCCAGAGCCCTCTGCACCAGCACTCATGTGCTGAAAAACGTGCATAAAGCAATGGGTCCCAATTCGGCCCTCATGGTTATACCACATCTACCCCGTGGGGTACCTGACAGGTTGAATTACTGAGGAAGAAAAGCCACACCCAGGGGTTCTCTCAAAGAGCTGATGGTATGCCATCCCCCACTGAGCTATGAGCTGTCTCTAGTAACTCATCATAATGTAGCCTGGAACAAGTAGGTTGAAATCCTCACCCTGCCACTTAAGACTTGTTGGACCTAGGGTAAGTCACCTCCCTTTCCTTGGCCTCCTCAGTTACCTCCCCTGTAAAAGAAAGGGGTTGGGCTAGATGGTGTCTGAGGTCCCTCCCAGCTCTAAATCTAGGCTCTTATGATCAAAAGGGGAAATTAGTTTACTTACCCCACTGTGTACCAATTGCCGATAATAAACGTTACGGGTGAAAATATTTATTATATATTGGTCAAAACTTAATCTTGGCCTCAAAGGTCCCTTCTAGGTCTAGATCTAGGCTCCTGTGTGAGACCTTGAGTAAGTCCCTTCGCTTCCCTGGGCCTCAGTTTCCTCCTCTGTAAAATGAGGGGACTGGATGAGAGAGCCTCTAAGGTCCCTTTCAGCTCTAGGTCCTCCGATCATAGAGGCCACGTCTATAGTTCTTTACAGTTGTTAGGCACTTTCAAAAACCTGCTATAATCTAATTTTACAGAGGTAGTCACATATATGGACATATGAAGACTATAGTGATATAAACCACAGAACCTTACATTGGAAAGGGAGCCCCTAAAGGAAGCAGGCATCCTCGCTCTGATATCCTTGAAAAATGATTCTCTACTCAGTGCTTGAATATCTTCAGTAATGGGGAACTCACCCCTTCCTGACGCAGTCCATTTCAGGTCTGGAGACCTCTACTTGTTAGGAAGTTATTCCTTAAATCAAGCCTAAATCTGCCTCTCCCCTCTCAAGTTGTTCCCTCCTCATGTTAATAGGCCCTCCCAGGGGGCTTGGGAGCCACTTACCTGACATACAAGCCAATACATAGATTGTACACCAATGTGTGTGTGTACACACACACACACACATACACACTCCTCCCCAAAGGAATCCAGTGGCCTAGCTGATGCCGGGATTCTATACATCAGACACTACCCATCTCAGAGACTTTACAGACCCAAGGAATAGACAGTTTTCTCTGACTAACAAATATAAAAGAAAACCACTTTTTCCATACCATCATAAAGGAATAACCAATCCAGAGAGAGTCCCAGCTCCGTGGGCAATGAGGGATCTGCGTGGTCTGACTGTGAATGGCAATCACTGTTGCTGGGGCTTCACATACTGAGCACCTAGAAGAGAACAATAGTCTGGGTCAGGATCTGGGCCACACTCTGCCTTCTCCTGGAAGAAGGTTCTCCTGGGGAAGGAGGGGAGGGCACAATGGTCTGAAGAGAAGTGGGACGCAAACTATGGGAAATGGCATCATACTTACTGCCACATGACCTAAGCTACTAGCTGGGGGGCGGAGATCAGGGAAGGAGTGGGGCAGAGCCAATGCTTTAGCTCTG